AAGGGGCTGGAAGGGACCTTACGGATCATCGGGTCCAGCACTCCCCCTCCCCTCCCCTCCCCGCCCCCCACCACCTTTGGGGCCTAAGTAGTTGCTTGCACAACTTGTGGTTCAGCTTGACCTTGATCTTTGATAATTCTCAGGCTTGTTTAGAGCAACTAACAAGGCATATAAGTGGGAAGAAGCATTTCAGCATCCTCTCTCTCTGCAGCAATCTGAAAAAATCATCAAAGCAGGTGGTGCAGGCAGAAATGCTCGGGAACAGGGGCTGGCAAACTATGGTCTGGCCCACCAAGAGGTCTGATCTAGTATGGAGGGATCAGTGCACCATGCTCCTGTGGAACCTGCTTTGCAACATCTGAACTCACCCTTGCTGCAGAGCTGCCGGATATCTAGCAGCTGGCTGCTCGGGGTGGGGGGAGGGTAGAGACTTGCAGCCCACCATGACAGCTGGGTCGCAAACACCAGCCTATGCCAACAAAAGGTTGCCGACTCGGCTATGGAGAACTGAGACTTCAGAGAATGCTGTGAAGGAAATAAAAACTACTCTTGTGATCAGAATAACCCATGTGAGCTGTGCCATCACCACAGGTTTTTTTTTCTTAATTTATTGTAAGCTGCTGGAAGTTAGCATCAGCCTGTAATGTAATTGTAAGCTTATCAGCCTGCTCCCAAAAAGTTAAAATGCCTCTTTGGCAAGATAATTACAAGGGATTCCCCTTCGGCATTTCAGACTCTCGTTGTCTGAATAGTAATAAATCAGAGATTGTTTTCTTTGCATTGGATATTGGATGGCCATTATGCAAAGGTCTTTTTAATTTTCCATTTCCCTGGTAAGATCTATCATGTGTCTCTTAGCTGCGCCTGTGATTATTTTCTTATTATCTCTTTCTGAGTTTTGTTGTCTTGTATTGCTGCTGCTTTATTACTATTTTTACAAGCTGTTTGTTCATCTTCACAGGCTTTTGCAAGAGCAACTGTCCTAATGATGCATGGGCTTTTTCAGTGGCTTTACCTGTGTCTTTTCCCAAGACCTGCTCCTATTATCTCCTGTGTCCACAGAAGTGTGACTGAATACAGCCCATGCTAAGAATGCAGACATCTTGCTTGCACAAAGCTCAGATGCATTTTAACCAGGGCTCAGATTTAGGGCTTAATCAGTGATTTAAAAAAGAAATGCTTTACCAGAGCTTTTGGTTTGGCTCCTTTACAAATGCAGAAGGAATATTTAGCATCTTTGATTTTTTTTTATCCCCTAAAATTTTTATTATCCTCCCTGACAGTGCAGGGAAAATATCTGTGTGCGCATAATTTTTTAGAGCTTCTTTGTAGCGTGTTAATCTCTGAGACTAAAAATCTCTTGGTCCCAGTCTCACTTTTAATAGGATAGTAAACTAAGAGGATACATAAGGATTATTCTAATCCCACCCTGAAGCTCCCTCAAGCACTGCCACAAATCTGGTAGCCATTATATAATGGCCTTCTCCATCCCCTCCAGAAAAGAGGTGCTTATCTTGATTCAACAAGTAATGATAGAAAAGTAAAAGACTGGGATGTCAAGCTTTAGAGAAAAGCGATTAGCTAATTGATTGAGGACAGAAATATTAGGATGGATCTGAACCATCCTCAGGCTGTATTCCCCTCTATTCCCAAAGCAAATTTTAAACACAGAGAACGACAACTCTTCCAAAGTCTTTGAACTCTGCTCAGTGACTGCATTTTGCTTCCTGATTTTCAAGTTCTCTGAGGTTGGTACTCAGAGAGGAAGGTGATGAGGAATTTACCAACTGAGATGACTTCTGGGCACACTGCAGTGCACTTTACATATCTACTTTAATCCCTTTCTGATCTAAAGGTGAGAATACAAGGGAGTGAACTGGGAGTGTGCTCAACAGAAGTATGAAATCAGTCAGGCTGCCTTTCATTACTATTGGCACCTCACAATCACTAATGAACTTCACTTTCACAAAACTCTGAGGTGAGGAAGAATTATCCCCATTTTACAGATGGAACTGTAAAATGGGGATAATTTTACACATTAAAACACAAAGAAACTGAATATCTACCTTAGAGTTCACCCAACAAGACTATGGGAAGGCTGGGGAACAACCCAGATCTAGAATACCATAGCACTGCTCTAACCACTGGATGACCTTACTTACCCATTCACTCATGGAGATGTCTGAAAATCAGGATTCTTTCCTGTTGAAATGCATCAGATTGCATCAAGCAGAACAGTTTTTTTAAACATGTTCCCAGAGGAAGGTATCTCAGAACTCCCCTAACACAGCCTTCGTCTCCTCCTTGTGCTATCACACACCGATGTCTTTCCCCCTTAGAAGGAAAGCTAAAAAAACACATTTGTAAACCAAACACACAATAAATACAGCCCTGGCAATTAAAAAAAAAAACAATAAAAAACAAAGTTCTCTTTATTTGTAACTGTCCTCTCCATAGTAAAAGAAAAGCAACCAAGGTACAGTGAATGACAGAGTTTTTACTACACTTGTTATTCAGAATGGCTTAGGAGAGGAATGGTTAGAGCTGACTAACTCCCCATAACACACAGTAAAGTTAATGGAATAATAAATTAAAGCAGTAGTCCACCACATATATAAAATAAAAAAGGGAATACATAAACATAAAAAAATTACATTGGAATAAAGTAATGGTGGATACTAACAGCTTCACGTCTCTCCTAAGACTTCAGTGTTTTTATTACAGTGGTTGTACACATTTTTTTATTATTATTAAAACCCAGCAACAACATTGTGAAGTTTTGAAACATGAAGGTGGAAAGGTTTCAATCAAATTGGAATTTTCTCAAGAACTCATACTGCCAAGAAAGTGCCAAAGAAAACATCTGAGGATTAACTGTCCCCAGTTCTCAAATCTTGAGATTCACTGGAAGAAAAGTGCCATGACTCAGACTATTGCAAAGTATCCCCATCCATGCGATTCATATTGTGCTTTGTGATTCATAAGTGGCCAGTGTGGACTTAATTTGTGTCACACACATTGCAAAGTCAACAAGGACAAAACTCTGCATGCTCCCAATGGGACTAGTCACATGCACAAGCACTTGCTTAAGTGAATGGGGAGTTCACAATCTGCTCCTCTGTGGTGGTAGTCTAGTGAGTTTTGCCCTATTTATATTAACCCCAATAGAGGCACACTAGCAATATTTATTTCCAAAGCACTTAGCTTGGCTAACCGTTTTAACACTCTTACAGCCATATTCTACCCTCAGTTTTTACTGGGAACTTGCACTGATTCCACTCTGAGCTCTCTGGCTGAAATTTATCCCTGTGCAGAACAAGTCACAGTATTCTCCCTCCCGTCTGTTTGGATTAACTGGAATTTAAAGGGTACCCAGGCCTTGAGCAAGCCATGTGCACAGGAATGAATGTCATCCTCTTGCAGAAGAATGGCAGGATACAGCTTGTGCACCATCTACAGCTAGTGACTAATGCCTTGTCCATCCACTTCATGGGAATTTGCAGAAAGTGCAATGTGGGGGGAAAGTATGTAAGGACTCTCTAGGGAAGCAGAGAGAGAATGAGTAGGTAGGGATTGAAGAGGCAGCAGCATGAGCTCTCCAAAGGAGGCTGTGGACGGGAAAGAGAAAGGGTACAGTGGGAGATGGAAGAATTGCAGCCCATGCAAGGCACGGATCCAGGACTCTCAGCCACAACATGGACACTGATTCATATATTGTACAAAGATAAAAAGCCAGCCATGTTCTGAATTACAGGGCTGTAATTCCATCCTGAGGATATGATGACTACACAAACCAACTGAGCTTTTCTCTCATGGTTTGACATCCTTACATCCCTAGTTGGAATTATATATAACCCTGCTCTAAGTCACAGCTGCCTGGCATTTATTTCCTCTCTGTAAATTTTACAGTTTTGAGGTAGAATTTCTAACTCTAGTATTTAAGTAAACAAAGTAAGAATAAAGACAATTTTGTAGGACTAAATGGTGAGCAATACAGGGGCTATTATCTGAGTAGTCTTCATGCTATATGTGTGGAACCAGCATCTCAAAACGTATAAACATGAATGATTGTTTTAAAAAAAAGTCTATTTTAATAGTTTAAAAAATGAGGTACAATAAACTGTTGTGGTTGGCTCAATCTCGTGATTTAAAGATTGAATTAACCAGTTTTTAAAAAGCACTGCTTTCATTTTTAAATAATTCTTCTTCCTCTCAGTCTCTGCAACAAATTGCAGAAGCAAACGTTCATTTAAAAATATGATAAACTCAATGTATCTAAGTATCCAAATAAAAATGCTTACATTTATGAATACTTGCTGTTTGAACACTTCCATATTTAGTTGGTTGCCATTCAACATCCCTGTCATTTTCTGTGTCAAAGATATTACACTGATGACACAACTTTATCAAAGAAGAATACATATAAAATTACATACAAAATTGCTTTGCAAAAAACTGTCTTCATTTTATGACATTTTTAAGGAAGATCAAAGAAGTTAGTGTAATTCTATTTAAAACTTTTCTTGAAAAAAAAATAATTCCATATAGTATTTAAATAAAAAAGCCACAAATCATCAGGTCATTACCAAGAATGTTTTGTGCTTTGGGTATTAATATGCATTTGCTATAATATTACAGAAGCTGCAAATGAAAACAGTCAAAAAGCCATTATTCTATAGTCTGCTGTTAATTATCTCCAGTATTCAGAGTGCCACTGGGAAAATGCAGTCCTAATTTAATATAGAAGAATTTGGTTATTCTTCTGAATTCTAGCCGAGTGGTCTCATATTTTTGTAGTAGTCAGAAAACTAGTAAGTTGGGATAAGGGAAGTGTTAGGAAGAAAATAAGCTAAAAACCCCACTTTATTCCCTCCCAGCCCTCTTTCAGCAATACTGAAGAGATACATTCTAAGGTTACATTTTGAAGCAGAAAAAATATGTATTTTAGAGCACTGGTTCTCAACCTTTTTAGACTTAAGGCACTCAGGGCACCCCCTCCATAATTTTTTGTGACATGGACAGCAACCCATTTAAAAAACAAATGTATTTATGACAGTGCTTACCTCCTTACAGAGGGACTAGGCTATGGGGGCAAGAGAGGGGCCAGGCAGTCTGAGCCTGTACTTATTGCCTCACTCCTACTTATTTTTTCATACCTCATGGCACCCCTTCAAAAGATGTCACAGCACCGTAGGGTACCCCAGGCACACTGGTTGACAATCACTGTTTTAAAGACTGCATGAGCAAGGAAGGAAACTATTAGAAAAATCTCACCAGCTATAAGAGAAACTCCACAGAATCCTCTGAAACATATCAATTTGTAATCTACACATTTACAGGAGTTGCTCTGCTCTGAAAGCTGTTTTCCAATCTGTGCCAGAGCATGTGAAGCAGTGTAGAATACTTCTGTTGATAGACCTCCAGGCTCCATTTCTCCATAATTGATTTAGTTGTTATTAGTTATGCAGGGAGAGAAGAGATCCTCGAGGCTTGGTGAGACAGTATCCAGTTACTAAAAGCAGCCTTTGTGAATTAATGTTATAGTACCAGCCCCTTCCCTTTTATTCCTGTAAGTCTTGTTTTCCTGGACGCCAGCTGTCACAGAGGAAGTCTCTAGCTTCATCTTCTTCTGCCTCCTTAGCTGGCTGGAGCTGCACCAGCATGGCCTGCAGAGTTTCCTTCACCATCTGGATCTCCCTCTGTAGAGACTGTACACACTTTATTAAGGAATAAATCTATAGGTGATTGGCAGCCCCCTTTCTCTCTCCAAGTTATTAAATGAATTGTCATTCTGCTGTTCACAACAGATGGGCATCGCTATATAATTGTAGCTTCAAGTTCTTCCAAATTGTTTGGATTAAATATTAATACATATTTTACACTTGTTTTTTTTTTCTGTCTTTCTTTTCATTTTCAGTAAGATTGAAGTCTTTCAAGTAGCATTAATTGGCACTAATCTTTCTAGGATTAGAAAAGGACAACATTTTGGCTTTTTTTTCCCTGTGTCATGCAGAGCAATGTAGATTTGTATTCTGATATCCAAATCACCAAAGACTCTCCTGTGATCAGTCTTCCATTGGAATAATCCCACTTGACAGTACAATTTGTTAACAGATACTTTATTTACTCAAATATAAGATGACCACCAATAATTAGATTCTACGTATGGAAAATTTATAAATTTCTTATAATTTTCCAGGTATAGAATCTAATTATTGGAGGTTTGCCTTGAATTTGTCCCTCTCCCACTGATACAGCTAAGAAAATAAATCTGGAATAATCAGGTGGCCCCTTGCCCTCCATCTCCCTCCCCCCCACCAATTATTTCCCCCTATAGCCCTTTCCCACCCCTCATTACTGTCAGACTGCTCTCCTTGAGTGTACTGACTTTGAAATAAACATACCTGTAGCAATTTGCATTTAGGCAAATTTGCATTTAGGCAAACAGCTATGGGTACCCATACGCTTAATTGATCTAAAATTGATGCATTTCACCTTTTTTGAAACCACTGCAAGTTTTAGCACAGTTACTCCATAACCCCACTTTAAGCGGCAGTTTTGTACCTGCTTATATATAGTACAAATTATGCATGATATAAGTCCAAAGTTAAAGGCCTCATGATTTACCATATAGTTTATTGGACTGGGCCACAGCAGAGTCAACAGTGTTTCAAGCCATGGTGACCCCATAGCTCAGCACTGTTCAGTATGTCCATGAACTCCAGATATCCCCAAAAAGGATCCACATGCAATTAGCCCCCGCCATCATGACTGGAACCAGGTGTTTTTGCCATGAGTCCTGGGATCCTCCAAAAGTGTATATGTTGGGCAACCTAGTCCAACTCCACCTCATGGAGAAAAGGGCCTTACTAATCATATGCTACAGGATGAGAGAATGGGTGACAGAAGGATTCTGGATGAACTGTTTGGGGCCCTGTTTGATGATGTTTGTCAGACATATAAGGCTGCTGGAAGTGGGAAAGGCACAGCTCAGCTGTGGGACTGAGGAGGAAGTTGAAATGTATGCAATATAGTGGCTCACTAGGACTTTAAAGAGAGTCAGCATTGAGGAGGACTGCAATCAATGGGTACTACCATATATCTTGTTCAGGTAGGCCGTACAAACCTATCTTTGTGGTAAATCCCCATCAGTATGTTTACCCAATATGGACTATGTCTTTTATAGTTATGCTCAGTGTTGGCTGCATTTAATCAGCTCCATAGTTGGTTTTTATTACTGAGAATATGCTGCAGGAGTTTAATGATAGACAATGTAGGATTTCGCAGGAGTTGCAGGAGTTTAGCGATAGACAATGTATTTAATGAGATTTACTTGTAAACAAGTGTTAAGATGAAGAGCTTTTTTTCCCCATACTGATCATGGGGAAAACCTCATCTTATATTTGAGTAAATACACTACATATTATTGTAACAACTCTTTGGATCTTGGACAGTAATTCTCACTAGCATTAGACTAACTTGTATCCCATTGTTTGTACCATGCCCCCAGAACTCAAGGTACAGACAGATGTGACAGTTGCATCATTATGAAATGCTATGGATAAATCTATTCAAATATACCTGTTATAACTCCATGCTTCTGTAGCCATATAAATGTATCAAAACCATTGCAACACTAGCCCTGCCTAATTCAGGGGGGTTTCAGCAAACTCTTATGACTACAGGAACATGCAGATGTAGCAGCTGATGCCCATTTCAGAATGGCAGCTCTCCCTCCTCTTTTAAAGCCATCAAAAGGTAAATTTGTCTATAGCCTCAATCTGAGCTACTTTCAGACTGAGCTCATGTGAGGAAAGAATTTGACCCAATAAAATAAACACTTCATCTTGTCCTCCTGGCTTTTTATCCAGAAGAAATGAAAACCCTAGCTGGGTTTTTCCAAGTAGAAAAATGCTCCTCAGTGATGTCCCTAGACTGCAACTGAATCCATGAGGATAGATCCTTGCATCCAAGCACAAACCCACTGAAGCCAACACTCTCTTTGAAACTAGTAAAATAAAAAAATGGAGCCCAGAAAGGCTAACGTAAATAGAACTGGTATAAGACAAAACAAAAAAGTTTACAACAACAAGGATAAGATACGTGCAAGATCCTGAAATTTAATGAAAATGGAAAAGGCTGGAGCTGAAACAAAACTTACTTTTTCAAAATTTAATGCATATAAAGGATAAAGCACAAGGACATGCTTTACTGCTTTTACCCTTCTTATAGCACATCCATTATGAAATGTTGTTTTACCCAACCACAATGTCAATGCAATGTCAAGAGAAAAGACACCCTTAGGTTATGTGACTGCAAAAAGCAAGCTTCCTTTCTTTTGAAAAATGTGGCTATAGAGAATCATGGGAAAGTTATGCAAATCACTTCTATGCCAGGCAGTCACACTTACCAGTTTGAAAAGCCTTTTGGCAGCTTTTGATTCTATTATAGCTTCCTCAAGTCTTCATCTTTTATGTAATTTACATACATTTGCTGTGATGTTTTACTCTTCGCACTTTACCATGAGGAAAAAAACCCATTTTCTTCTCTATCATTTTTTTTTAAGGGGGGGGGGGGGAAGGGGGGGGGTGTATTTCCCCC